AAACCGATATGCACGTGTTCGCATAATGCTATTAGTATCTTCTTACTTGCACGGGTTTCTCATAATGATAACCGAGACAATTCTTTTGGTAGATTATGGAACTTTCGGTGTCCATTTGGACGACTAAACGGGGCTCCACAGCTTCTTCTTTGCCTTCTTCCTTCTCGACAAATGAGTAGTAATACCGAGGCTTATTGGACAATTTTTCATGATCTTTTCCAATTCGTCTGCAACAGCTCTTCGAAACTTCGGCTGGTGGCGCGTACCTCTGCTCGGGAACCTGCATAGTAGCCCAATTTAGAAAGGAAAAAAAAAAATGACAAATGAAATTTCAGTCCAACACAATATAAACTAATTTTTTTTCCCCTCAAATGTGGGAGATTTTATATTTATGATTTATTAAATTAAAACCCATTTATTATATACCTTTTGGAGCTCAGAGACCACTACAAAGACCTGATTAATGTTGACCGTGTCGTATAACCGAATGTGTTGAAGCTCTCGACTGCTTGGTTTAGGCAACTTGATGAATGGAGGAATTGTATTAACCCCTTTAGTTAGAGAAACTGTTTTCTCCCAATATTCAACGTAACGACGCTGGCTCGCTATGGAGACCTGCACAACAATCATGTAAAGTAAAACCACCAATTTTTTTTATTCTTTTTTTCTAAAATCCAAGAACAATTGAATAGATTGAATAAAGTTTTAGTTATGGACATAAATCGACTTACTCCTTCGTTATTGGTGGTTCGTCTTTCTGCATACATGTGCAAAGCCCTCTCAGCCGACATGCCCGTGTAAACGAGGTAACATGATACCATCAAGCCCGTTCGACCTTTTCCTGCCTGCAAAATTCAAATCAAGTCAACTCAAACGTGTTTGCACAAAATGAAGGGGAATCAGAAAAATACTAAGATTTGAACATAGAAAAAGCTCAATGAAAATAAAATGAAGCAGCTCATGATTTGGGTTCAATAAAACTTCAGGAACACAAAAGAACCCGAAAACAGACATTACAAAAAAAAAAAAAAAAATTGTCATATTCCAACAGTAATATATTGCAATTCTATTCCAAAGAAAATTCCAATGAAAATATCCGTTGGAATGAGTTTCTCTAGGAATTTTAGTTGGAATTTAATGATTCCAACGAGCATTTTTACAACAATTTATTACTGTTGAAATATGCAATTTCCACTCATATTTCAGCTGTTGGAAAATCTATCGATGAAATTGTCAAAATTCGATGAAAAAGTCGGAATATTTTCATTGGAATATATGTTGAAAGAGTTCATCGGAATATTAACATTGAAACTGTGGTTGGAATTCTATTGTAATATATTTCCTTCTGAATTTCATCATGAGAGCACACACAATCGAGAATAATTTTCAAGTACCATGCAGTGCACGACCGCAATATTCTTCGGGTCACGCAAAAGCCACGCGTGCACGTCCTCACAAAAATCCTTGATCATCGCTAATTGAGGGACATGATTGTCATCAAACGGGTATCTCTCGACCCGCCCGATAAAATGAGACGGGTCGTAGCTTTGTTCTATACACAAGTTATACACCTAAACACAACGACGACAACAACAACAACAACACATCATCATTCATCAGCAAGATTCTCGACAAATTCGTTAGCAAATGTGGGTCCCACCTTGTAATGACCGTGATGTCTCATCTCGAGCACGGACTTGACCTGCCACATAGGATTACGGTACAAGGCGCGCATGGACTCGGAGGGGAATGACATGGCGAGGAGTCGGCCGGTTATGTAGGTCATGTCGAGGTCATAGCCAGCGACGAGCATTCGCCTCCTCTGTTTCGAGACGAGGTTTCGTATGTAGTTTCTCCATAGGCATTTGACGAGGTGGCTTCGGACGAAGCTTAGGCTCAAATCTTCAGGAGGTTTACTATTAGGCCCTTTCTTGGACAGCTTCAAACCCATATGGACACGACACGGAAAAGCATGCGACCGAGCCTACAAAAAATAAAAATCGTCCTAAATAAGTGAACAAAGAAACAGAGAAACGCAGTAGAATATCCAAAAGGGCGGTTCTCTACACGATGCAAACATACACGAAAACAAATCACGAAGGATAAAGTTACCTTTTTTTTTCTCTTCCTTCTCTTAAAAAATGACTTGGAACAATCAAAGTGAATCCTATGATCACAAAGATTGCTCCAAGAATAAAGATGGTGATGGATTTAAGATCCCTCTGCAAGAAAAAGAGAAACTGTGCAGATTTTTATATATATATATATATATATTTTTATTTTTTATTAGGGTGGCCAAAAAGAGGAGATGAAAGAGGCCATGCCCAGATAAAGGTGAGAGAAAGATAAAAAAAAAAAAATATGAGTTTCAGACATTTTATGCTAATTTTGGAGTTTTCAGGTTTTTTTTCCTCACATAACTCAGACAACCTTAAACTTGGAGAAAATGAGGGCGCCTAGTCAGGGCATCGTTTGACATTAGCATATTGTGAACTTATTTGACATATATTTCAAATTCAGATGTCACTAGTGTTGATAGATAATACGGATTTACAACAAAATGACTGCAGTCTGCAAACTTATTAGTTAATGAAATTTTAATTGATAAATGATCGGAAGATGCTACGGTCTCGTTACGAAACTGTCGGCGTTTGTGTTGGAAAAAGCAGTTATAAAACTTGGGTTTGACCCGGTTTTGACTGAATTTTTTATGGCTAATTATTTAATATGAGTTGAATTAAATATTGTAGAAAAATTCTACGTTCCGAGTAGATACTCGTGGTATATTTATTTTCTCAAAACTGATTTCCGGTGAGTATAAATTGTTAAAGTTAGCCAATAAAGGGCACGTAAAACGTTGGTTGTGGGATTTGAAGGGTCAAGAGTCACTCCCACATTGTACTCTTAAATGAGTTTAACTCTCTTTATTATAATAAAGAGAGTTTGAGAGGTTACAACAAGCACAAAACTATGCACCAAGTGTTGGTGTTGTTTTCGGCCACACGCACGCGCGCGCGCTGGCTCGAGCCTTGGTCCTTGGCAATTGGACTTTGGGCTGGACTTGGGCGGTCTTGGGCGGTTGGGCCTTGGGTCCAAACACTATATATTTTTTTGCTGCAAATTTATTTGCAATTTTAGGCCCAACTGAAAAATCCAATTTGGATTTGGACTCAGGTTTTGACCCAACCCGAGTGAGACCTCTCCAGGTACAATGAATCTGGACACATGACCTTTCATGTGAAATGTAACACCTGACCTTTCATGTGGAGTGTTAATGGTGTTGATTACCAGTTAATGGTGATAACTCCTAGTTAATGGTGAGTTAATACCTGAAAAACGTTTCTGCCCATTATCTCTGCCTTTAGTGGCAGATGTGATTGCTGGTTTCCCTC